TGTGTGTGTGTGTGTGTGTGTGTGTGTGTGTGTGTGTGTGTGTGTGTTTGTGTGTGTGTGTGTAAGAAGGACAGATAGGGGCTGCTAGGTGGCGCAGTGGATAGAGCACTGGCCCTGAAGTTAGGAGGACCTGAGTTCAAATCCGGCCTCACACCAAACACTTGACACTTAGTAACTGTGTGACCCTGGGCAAGTCACTTGACCCCAATTGCCTAATTAAAAAAAAAGAAAGAAAGAAAAATAGATAGATGTAGATATATCTATCTATGTCTGTCTATCTATATATATGCTGAAGCTAATGCAATCTTGGAGTGCATTAAAGAGAGACACAGCTTTGAAGTAGTCACTTGAGGGAATTACAATGGTAGTTCCGCTGTGTTCTGTCCTTTTCAGACCTCATTTGTAATATCGTATTCAGTTCTGGGCAGCATAGTTTAAGGACATAGATAACCTAGAGTATTCAGACAAGGGTAACTAGAATGGTAAAGGATGTTCAATTCTTGATATAAGAGGTTAAGTTGAAGGAACTGGGCATGTTTAGCCTAGAGAAGTTGGGGGTGAGGGGAAACATAATAGATTCTTCCATTTAGTCCCAGAGAGCAGACTAGGAGCAATTGGGTAGAAAGTCCAAATAGGCAACTTTAGACTTTATGTCAGGAAAAACTTACTAACAATTAAAACTGTCCAAAAGTGAAATGGGGACAGCTAGGTGGCGCAGTGGATAGAGCACTGGCCCTGGAGTCAGGAGGACCTGAGTGCAAATCCGGCCTCAGACCAAACACTTGACACTTACTGGCTGTGTGACCCTGGGCAAGTCACTTAATCCCAATTGCCTAAAAATAAATAAATAAACAAAAGTGAAATGGATTGCCTCTAGGTTGGGTTCTCCATCCTTAGAGGACTTCAAGAAGATGCTGTGCCACCAGATGTTGAGAATATTGTAGTGGGAGTTACTTAAACATATAGGCTGGGCACCTTTGTGGTCTCTTCCATCTCTCAGATACTGTGATTATGTTATTTCTTTGATGCAAGGAGCTCTTGGTGAGGCACTTCCTCTGCTGATACATATCAGCAGCTTCTTCACAACTTAGGATTGATTGCCTGGGCACTAAGAGTGACTCAATCAGAGTCCCACAGCCAGTCTGCATCAAAAATGGTCTTGCAACCCTGGTCCTCCTGACTACCAGGCCACGTCAATGCAGTATATCAACATTTTGTCTCCAAAGTAATATTATTGCCGGCAAATATAATTTTTGGTTAATAAATGTCAATATTACTATTAGTTTGCTTTTGTTACATATAATATGCTTTTTCGTAGTTTAGTTTATCTAATAGTATATGTAATGAGTTCACAAATGCATTCATAGATTTATATTTTTTTAATAACTAATTCTAAGTGACATTAGCCATCAATACACCAAGTACTTGTAATTTCAAGTGTCAGACTTCCAATGTGAAATTCTCTCCATTCTGGCAGATTCTAAACTACCTATTACATGTAATCAAAGAGAATTGCCCCTGGTCACAGAGCTAATAAATGTCAGACAAGTTTTGATCACGTATCTTCCTAACTCCATAGGATGCCATACTGCCCAAGATTAGATAGGATATAGCAAATAAATAATACACAGTATCTTTCTGCGTTGCCTTTTAAGACGTGTTTTGTTTTGTTTTTTTCCAGAAGTAGAGTCTTGTTTGTCTATGTGGGACATTAACCTACCACATGAGGTGGAGAACTTGGAGAAGCATACAGAAGTTAGAAAAGAATTAGCTGAAAAAATGAAAAGTATTTCCATAGAGTAAGAAAGCCCATTAGAGAGCATACTTGTTCTATGATTTGCTCCCATTTTAAAAAATTCTTTGACATCTCTTTTAAAATATTTACAATGCAATAATCATTCTTGAATATAGTTTAATATAAATGAACAAATGCCTGTTTTTAATGTGACTTTTATATGTACAAAATAATTATTTAACATTATCAAAGTTCAGGATTCTAAGCATAAAGAAGTATTTTAAAAATTAAAATATTGTAATAATTCTATAATAATTTTTAATAAGATAAAGGAATTTATTTACATTATACTTATTTGGAATGTATGAACTCATCTGTTAATTCGCTAACTAAATCTAGCAGATTTGAAAAATTTTTTATGACAATGAAGGTCATTTTCAACTCGATAAATTCTAAAGTTGAAACAGTTGTTTTGTAAATCAGAATTTCAAAATAATTAAGATATTTTAACATTTAGTACACCTCATATGATACATTCCTATATCACATGTAATTAAATTGCTTATAGTTGTGACACAAAATTTTAAGCATAGTAGTTATATCATTGTTATAATAAATGGATGAGTCCCAAATAAAAGTATTGCCCAATCTGAAAGAATACTGTCAGCAGTATAGCTAATGGAAAATTTTGTGAGCTCTCAGATACCTATTATCCCCGTGATAAGAAGTATCTACAACAATGTAATCTCATGTAAAATAAATACAGTCTGTCTCTTTCTTTCTCTCTCACAGTAATAAAAGCTCTGAATTTGTTGAGATATGTTTACTATGCAATGTGCCCCTTCACTTTTTCTTCACGTATTTTATTTCTTCTTCTTTTTTTTTTAATTGGCTGGGCGGTGGACAGTGACTTGCCCAGGGTCACACAGCTAGTAAGTGTTATGTATCTGAGGTTGGATGTGAACTCAGGTCCTCCTGACTTCAGGGCCGGTACTGTATCCACTGCACCACCTAGCTGCCCCTATTTTGTTTCTTTTTAATTCTTGTAAAATACCTAGACTGTGTTTTCTTGTTTCCTATACTTGCTGTCTCTGAAATTGCTTCAAATCTATTTTCTTCCATTTCATTCTGTTAGATGCCTTATTTTCAGGATTGGAGACATTTCTTGCATTCTTTAATACTAAGAGAAAAATAACCAAATATGTCACTGGTTGGCTTAAGAAGAAACCAGTTTTGTTGTGTAGTTGCTAAAAGTACTTGATAACTTTGGGAAACAATTTTCCATTTTTTTCATTGTGTTATTTGCTCTGAGACATTTTCATAGAGCAGATCTTGACTCCAGTGATTTGTTTCAGTTTCTTTAACTTATAAATAATTTCAAATTCTTAACCTTGAGTTATTCTCTGTTTTAAAGGAAGCTCATTGAATAATTTCCATAGTCTTGACAAGACAATAAGAGATGAATTTGTTTTTTAATTAATTTTAAGGTGTTACTTTCTGTTTATATGTAATAATTCTAAGGTAAAGACCCTTATGGAAAATGTGTGTGTGAATTATATTTATCATGAAAAATAAACATTTTAAAATAATGTTTGATAAGACTATTTTATTTATAAGTTATTTTTAAGTTCTTAAAGCATTTCATGCAATTTTCACACTAAAATGATGATACTGTAGGTAAAGAAGAGATAAAGGAAGGAGCATATTTACAGCAAGCATATTGATTTTGAATTTTTGTTTAGCCTTGATGGTTTTCTATATGTCAGTATAATTACCTGCATATTTAATGAGAGTTGGCATGCAATCCATGTTTACTTGTGATTTGAAATAGAAAGATAGGCAGGAAGGAAGGATGAAGGAAGGAAAATTCAGGGAAGGAAGGGTGAGATTTATTATTTACTATGTGCAATGCCCTGTGTGAAGCAGTGAGGGTTTCAAATATATGCAAAAAGAAAGATAGTCCCCTTGCGGTTAAGGAGCTTACATTCTAATGGAGGGAGACAACACATAAAAGGGAGGGGGTGGGGGAACAAAGGTACCTGGCACTTGGGCATAGTTTTGAATTCCAAAAAGTCAGGAGCAGAACCAGGAGGAGAATGGTTTTTGAAGTCCTAATAGGGCTAGATCTAAGAAGGGAATGAGGGCTAGCCAGCCAGAGACCCTCCACAGAGTAATGTTAGGAGGGAAGAGGATTGGTGGAGGTATATTCCAGGGTAAAAAGGCTACATGATTATTTGGATATTGGATATTACATAGCAAGAAGGCCCCAGGCACTAAAGGAAATTTAGTTTCAGGATTATGACAGCAGCAGAGACATTAGGCCCATCTACCAATTGGAACAGCAGGGTTTTCTAGGGTGAGAAATCCATAGGGTTAGTTAAGTGCCCTAGGCTAAAGAGGTACCAGACAATGAAGGAAATACCTTGTTGAGACAGCAGCAGAAGTAGGATTTTGAAACCATGGTAAGTCAGAAGCAGGTCCAAGAAGGGAATAAAGACTGGCCAGCCTGGGCCCATTCATACAATCCAGGCCCCAGAAGAAATCACCAATGTGAGAAAGATAGCAACCCTAGCAGAAGATATTCCATTAGTAATGGGGAGCACTGAAATAACTGTGAGGTGGAAGACTTCAGTGTGGGAAGGGGTAGGGGAAGGGTGGGGAAAGGAAAAATAGGCCATCTAGGAAAAACTTAAGGGGATTATACTTTGAGGTTTTTTTTGTTCTTGTTCTTATTTTTTTTTGTTTTTGTTTTTGCTTTTTTGGCTAGGCAGTGGGGGTTAAGTGACTTGTCCAGGGTCACACAGCTAGTAAGTATTATGTATCTGAGGCCAGATTTGAACTCAGCTCCTCCTGACTCCAGGGCCAGTGCTCTATCCACAGCGCCACCTAGCTGCCCCCTGAATTTTGATATATCTTACTTCGGGCCTGGAAAATACCATGTGCTTCGTTGTTTCATTCATTTTACTGACCTGCTTCCTGTTGTGATTACTTAACACTAAATTAGCATGGATGTATTAAAATAATGTTAAGGGCTATGTAAACTTTAATACTTCTTAACCAGAATGTCCCTTTTCTAAATTTTATAAATATTTCATGAAGGTAGCGAGTGAAGTTTAGGGAAGTTATACTAGCTGTATTTGAATTGAGTTCAGTAGTGACCAGAAGTTAGGCTAATGGCCTTTATGAACTAAAAAATGATGCTCTTGAACAGACTTCTTCTGGAGAAGACCTTCTACATGTGACACCTTTGGTAGGAGCAGTTCTTGTCTCTGTGCCTGCTCTTTGCTAAGGAGGCAGCCCTGACAGAAGGTATTCTAGAGAAAGAAAACTGAAAAGGAGAAAGCAGGACTAGGACTGGAATGAAAGCTGACTATCCTGGGCTTCTTCACAAAATGGAGGCCAAAATAGCAACTCCTCAATGGAGAATGGCAGGACAGGTGAGAAAGCCCCAAGGGACTGGATACCCTAGAGTAAGGAAGTTCCAGGATGAGACAGATGCAGAGGCATGGTTTTGAATTTGGAAAGTCAGGAGCAGGGCTAGGAGGGAAGTCAAAGCATAGTGGCTTAGGTTATGTCACAAAATTGGAGTTCCCACGAGGCACTCTTCAATCAGAGAAGGGGGATACATGTTGATGGGATATTCCAGGGTGAGAAAACCACAGGGTTAGCTAGATGTTCCAGGTCAAGGAGGAATCAGGTGGAAAGGAAAGTACCAGATTGAGACAGCAGCAGAAGCAGAATCTCAAAGTCCAGAAAGTCAGGAGCAGAGCCATGATCCACAAAATGGAGACCTCAGGAGAAAATCACCAATTGGAGAAGAAGCTAGAGGAAGGGTATTCCAGGGTAAGAAGGCTATGGGAGTGTTGGATGAATAGATAAGGAGGCCCCAGGCACTGAGGGGAGGTCCAAGATGAGATAGCAGCATAGGTATGGTTTTGAAGTCTGGAAATTCAGAAGCAGAGCTGGGAGAAGAATGAAGGGTGATGGGCCTGAACCCCACCACAAAATAAAGCCCACAAGGAGCAGCTCACAAATGGAAGAAGTGGGAGAACCTGGTAGAGGTTTTTAGAGGTATTTATGTGTCTGAGGACACATAAATAATGGTGAAGTGCAGGCACCGAGAACATATTTTGAGGAAGAGATAGTAGTAGAGGCATGGTTTTTAAGGCTAATTAGTCCAGGACGTTCATGAAGGAAATGGTTTTAGAATTCAGGAAGTTAAGAGCAGATTCAGGATGGGGACTGGTTTTGAGGTCCAGAAAGACAAAGACATGGAGAGGAATGAAGAGTGAGCTTAATGGATTCTTGCACAGACAGGGCTGGGAGAAGGATGAAGTGTGACTAGCTTCAACCCCTCCACAAAATGGAGGCCGCAAGAGGAACTCAGCAAGGGGAGAAGCAGAACAAGAAAGTAAGGAGGGAGGACTGGCTATTATGACAGAAAAATATTCCAGTGTGAGAGGGCTGCATGAGTGTTTGGATGCTCCAGGGCAAAGAGGCCCCTGATGCTGAGCAAAATAACTGGAAATTCCTTCCAGTTATTTAGATCTTTATTTTCATAAAGAATGCTTTGTAATTTGTTATGTAAGTCTTGAGTGTACATTGATACATTGGTTCCCAGGGAATTCCAGCAAAGATAAGTGGAAACCAGACCCAGATACCTTGAGTAACACTCCAGCAAAGATAAGCTTTCTTCTAGACTTAGATCTCTTGAGCAGATGTTAAAAAAAGGAGTACCAAATAAAGCAAATATTTAAAAACCACAGAATTTCCAGAAACAGTCCAGCCCAGCTCTCCCAAAGAATCACTCCAACAAAGATGTAGAAGTTACCAGATAGAATCCAGAAAAGTCCAAGAAAAAGTCACAGTGTGTCATTTTTCCAGCCCAGGTTGGCATTGAGAAATAGAGGTCTGCCAACACTGAGGCAGAATTTAGCCAGAAAAGTGCCATTGGAACACACCACCCCAGGGACTGAACCTGGGGCCTGAAACTGTACATTAGATCAAGAAGAGGTCCTCGATCCAGCATAGATAAACTTAATGCTATGTAGGGAGAAAGAATAGGAGCTGACTGGCAGCTAAATGAATCACATCCATGAGTTTGGTTGAAGATTCAGTAAAGACTAAGGAGGAGACCTATATCCAAGGTTGGTGGACCAGGGTGAGGAGCAGTCATGGCGTGAGCCTGAGTACTGGCCAAAAAGCATGAAGAGAAGCAAACCCCAGCCATGTGGCTCTGACTCTGCAGTGAGTCTCAGATCCATTCCTGAGCCCAGTCTAAAGATCGCAGAATGGAAAACTTTGCTATTCTTTCACTTTGAACCTGCAGTTAGTTGATAATGGCTGGGTCTGTCAGCAATGTGTGGGGTGCTCTGGGAGGACTAGCACCTCTGGTGTGAAGGCAACTTATTTGCCTTTGGTGTCCACCTGGCCCTCAACTCTCACCTGTGATCCCAAAAAGCTGTAGCATGCACAGCAGGCATACGCAGTAAAACTTTCTTGGCAGATGGGCTAAACCAGGTTGAGGGGAACCAATGGGCCTCAAACCCATTGGTGAGTTAGAGGATTGTCTAACCCATGCTTGTGTAGACTTCTTACAGCAGAATGGGTTGATAGGAACAATTTGTTTCAATAGCCATGAAAACTGTAGAAGCAGGAGCTATCTCCAGTTACAGCTTGGTTAGACATCAAAGATGCCAAGGCCATCCATTGCATCCCAGGCCATGGCCAGTCATCTTAACTTTTGTCTTGCCACTGAACTTTGATGATTCTGGAAGAGAGAGTGAGGCTAATGACTTTGTGCAACTCTGTTTCAC